CTGGAGTCTACTTAAGTGGTTTTGATATGGTCTATTTGAGTGGTCATGATAAGATCTATCTGAGTAATCATGACATGGTCTATCGGAGTGGTCATTATATGGTCTACCAGCAGAGTCATGACGGGGTCTATCTGAGTGGTCATCTTGAGGTCTATCCAAGTAATCTAGATGGGGTCTATCTGAGTGGTCATGATAAGGTCTATCGAAGTGGTCAAGATGGTATCTATCTGAGTGGTCATGATATGGTCTACCTGCATAGTCATGACAGGGTCTACCTGAGTGGTCATCTTGAGGTCTATCCAAGTGGTCAAGATGGGGTCTATCTGAGTGGTCAAGATATGGTCTACCTGCATGGTCATGGCGGGGTCTATCTGAGTGGTCATGATATGGTCTACCTGCATGTTCATGACGTGGTCTATCTGAGTGGTCATCTTGAAGTCTATCCAAGTGGTCAAGACGGGGTCCGTCTGAGTGGTCATGATAAGGTCTACGTGCATGGTCATGGCAGGGTCTATCTGAGTGGTCATGATATGGTCTACCTGCATGGTCATGACGTGGTCTATCTGAGTGGTCATCTTGAGGTCTATCCAAGTGGTCAAGACGGGGTCTGTCTGAGTGGTCATGATAAGATCTACGTGCATGGTCATGGCGGGGTCTATCTGAGTGGTCATGATATGGTCTACCTGCATGGTCATGACGTGGTCTATCTGAGTGTTCATCTTGAGGTCTATCCAAGTGGTCAAGACGGGGTCTGTCTGAGTGGTCATGATAAGGTCTACGTGCATGGTCATGGCGGGGTCTATCTGAGTGGTCATGATATGGTCTACCTGCATGGTCATGGCGGGGTCTATCTGAGTGGTCATGATATGGTCTACCTGCATGGTCATGACGTGGTCTCTCTGAGTGGTCATGATAAGGTCTACCTGCATGGTCATGACGTGGTCTATCTGAGTGGTCATCTTGAGGTCTATCCAAGTGGTCAAGACGGGGTCTGTCTGAGTGGTCATGATAAGGTCTACGTGCATGGTCATGGCGGGGTCTATCTGAGTGGTCATGATATGGTCTACCTGCATGGTCATGGCGGGGTCTATCTGAGTGGTCATGATATGGTCTACCTGCATGGTCATGGCGGGGTCTATCTGAGTGGTCATGATATGGTCTACCTGCATGGTCATGACGTGGTCTATCTGAGTGGTCATCTTGAGGTCTATCCAAGTGGTCAAGACGGGGTCTGTCTGAGTGGTCATGATAAGGTCTACGTGCATGGTCATGGCGGGGTCTATCTGAGTGGTCATGATATGGTCTACCTGCATGGTCATGACGTGGTCTATCTGAGTGGTCATGATATGGTCTACCTGCATGGTCAAGACGTGGTCTATCTGAGTGGTCATCTTGAGGTCTATCCAAGTGGTCAAGACGGGGTCTGTCTGAGTGGTCATGATAAGGTCTACGTGCATGGTCATGGCGGGGTCTATCTGAGTGGTCATGATATGGTCTACCTGCATGGTCATGGCGGGGTCTATCTGAGTGGTCATGATATGGTCTACCTGCATGGTCATGACGTGGTTTATCTGAGTGTTCATCTTGAGGTCTATCCAAGTGGTCAAGACGGGGTCTGTCTGAGTGGTCATGATAAGGTCTACCTGCATGGTCATGGCGGGGTCTATCTGAGTGGTCATGATATGGTCTACCTGCATGGTCATGACGGGGTCTATCTGAGTGGTCATGATATGGTCTACCTGCATGGTCATGACGTGGTCTCTCTGAGTGGTCATGATAAGGTCTACCTGCATGGTCATGACGTGGTCTATCTGAGTGGTCATCTTGAGGTCTATCCAAGTGGTCAAGACGGGGTCTGTCTGAGTGGTCATGATAAGGTCTACGTGCATGGTCATGGCAGGGTCTATCTGAGTGGTCATGATATGGTCTACCTGCATGGTCATGACGGGGTCTATCTGAGTGGTCATGATATGGTCTACCTGCATGGTCATGGCGGGGTCTATCTGAGTGGTCATGATATGGTCTACCTGCATGGTCATGACGTGGTCTATCTGAGTGGTCATCTTGAGGTCTATCCAAGTGGTCAAGACGGGGTCTGTCTGAGTGGTCATGATAAGGTCTACGTGCATGGTCATGGCGGGGTCTATCTGAGTGGTCATGATATGGTCTACCTGCATGGTCATGACGTGGTCTATCTGAGTGGTCATGATATGGTCTACCTGCATGGTCATGACGTGGTCTATCTGAGTGGTCATCTTGAGGTCTATCCAAGTGGTCAAGACGGGGTCTGTCTGAGTGGTCATGATAAGGTCTACGTGCATGGTCATGGCGGGGTCTATCTGAGTGGTCATGATATGGTCTACCTGCATGGTCATGGCGGGGTCTATCTGAGTGGTCATGATATGGTCTACCTGCATGGTCATGACGTGGTCTATCTGAGTGGTCATGATATGGTCTACCTGCATGGTCATGACGTGGTCTATCTGAGTGGTCATCTTGAGGTCTATCCAAGTGGTCAAGACGGGGTCTGTCTGAGTGGTCATGATAAGGTCTACGTGCATGGTCATGGCGGGGTCTATCTGAGTGGTCATGATATGGTCTACCTGCATGGTCATGGCGGGGTCTATCTGAGTGGTCATGATATGGTCTACCTGCATGGTCATGACGTGGTCTATCTGAGTGGTCATGATATGGTCTACCTGCATGGTCATGACGTGGTCTATCTGAGTGGTCATCTTGAGGTCTATCCAAGTGGTCAAGACGGGGTCTGTCTGAGTGGTCATGATAAGGTCTACGTGCATGGTCATGGCGGGGTCTATCTGAGTGGTCATGATATGGTCTACCTGCATGGTCATGACGTGGTTTATCTGAGTGTTCATCTTGAGGTCTATCCAAGTGGTCAAGACGGGGTCTGTCTGAGTGGTCATGATAAGGTCTACGTGCATGGTCATGGCGGGGTCTATCTGAGTGGTCATGATATGGTCTACCTGCATGGTCATGACGTGGTCTATCTGAGTGGTCATGATATGGTCTACCTGCATGGTCATGACGTGGTCTATCTGAGTGGTCATCTTGAGGTCTATCCAAGTGGTCAAGACGGGGTCTGTCTGAGTGGTCATGATAAGGTCTACGTGCATGGTCATGGTGGGGTCTATCTGAGTGGTCATGATATGGTCTACCTGCATGGTCATGGCAGGGTCTATCTGAGTGGTCATGATATGGTCTACCTGCATGGTCATGGCGGGGTCTATCTGAGTGGTCATGATATGGTCTACCTGCATGGTCATGGCGGGGTCTATCTGAGTGGTCATCTTGAGGTCTATCCAAGTGGTCAAGATGGGGTCTGTCTGAGTGGTCATGATAAGGTCTACCTGCATGGTCATGACGTGGTCTATCTGAGTGGTCATCTTGAGGTCTACCCAAGTGGTCAAGATGGGGTCTGTCTGAGTGGTCATGATAAGGTCTACCTGCATGGTCATGATGTGGTCTCTCTGAGTGGTCATCTTGAGGTCTACCCAAGTGGTCAAGATGGGGTCTGTCTGAGTGGTCATGATAAGGTCTACCTGCATGGTCATGACGTGGTTTATCTGAGTGTTCATCTTGAGGTCTATCCAAGTGGTCAAGATGGGGTCTGTCTGAGTGGTCAAGATAAGGTCTACCTGCATGGTCATGATGTGGTCTATCTGAGTGGTCATGATGGGGTCTATCTAAGTGGTCAAGATGGGGTCTATCTAAGTGGTCAAGATAGGGTCTGCCTGCATGGTCATGCTGGAATCTACCTAAGTGATCATGATGGGGTCTATCTGACTGGTCATGATATGGTCTACCTGCATGGTCATGATGGGGTCTATCTGAGTGGTCATCTTGAGGTCTATCCAAGTTTTCAAGACAGGGTTTATCTGAGTGGTCATGATATGGTCTACCTGCATGTTCATGACGTGGTCTATCATGATGTAGTCTATCTGAGTGGACAGGAGCTCTCCTGAAGGGGCTAGGAGATCTGGAGTGGCAGCCATAAGATCTGTTAATGGGACGGCCACGAGATTGGGAGTGGTCATGAAATCTCCTGAAAGAAACTTGATTTCCTTGTATTTGTGGTTGTCTCTCTTCAGACTGGTTTCCATTCCACCCTGATCGATCTTCACTGTTGTCATGTCTCATCTACAAAGGAGCCCAATTACATAATACAAATGAGACAGATTGTCCATGGTTTCATTATGTCATAAGGGTAATTTTCAAAGTCTGTCCTTCCATCCTGCGTTCCTTCCTTCCCTCCTTCCTTCCTTCCTTCCTTCCTTCCTTCCTTCCACCCTTTCATTCTTTTTTGAGGCAGGGTCTAACTATATAGAATAGGTTAGCCTGGATGATCAGATTTTCATGAATGCTTGAACAGGCTTGTACTATCACACATAGCTTCAAGAAAATTTCTATCTGTGTTTCTCCTATAATTATACTATGACTACCTTTTATATACTAGTTACCAGATGTAATTTAAAGATATGTCTGATGTACCACATCTCTTGCACAAAGACATAATGTACATGTAATATAAGAAATATGGAA